CAAACCGAGTCCCAGCTCAATGTTAATTTTGACATGTTACTAACAATCCTCCACCGTTTCGAACAAGTTTTATGAGCAGGTATTGCATTGATTTGCCTCTTATATTATCTATCTTTCACTCTTATATCACTTTATTTTTTCATTCTAAAAAAATGTATCTAAAAATAACATGTCATACTTGAGAAATGTATATGGTAATAAACAATAAACAAAAAATTAAAAACCCTCTGTTGATCTTTCGGTATTAGTTTTAGTAATATTGAGTAATTATAAACCATGTGTTAAGTGTAAACAGGTGGGGTTTGCTATACATTTTACAATATACACCTATGTTGAACAAGTTGTAATTAGTGAAAGGATCATCTTATCATCGAAACGTTATCATCTTAAACATAGGTGACTGGTATTTACACATTCCACCATGAACTGTTGCTGTAATGCTATCATTCAATAATGTGCAGACCTACTGAGTCGACGTGCCCCGTTGGATTTGCAGACTTTGGTATACATGGTAATATTTATGTGTGTCTCATAAGTACTGTACATGTAATAACGACATCTTGGTCCAATATGGGTAAACAAGTTAGTCTAATTTATTTTATTCTTGCTGTAATCACCTTGATTTTACAGATCAATTTTGTTAATTATCGTTTTTCGTTATAAGTTAAAAAGTTATTGCATTTCCTAAATTTTAGAAAAAATCATAAAGTGACGTCGTAGTGATAAAATAAATGAATAAATAGTTTGTGAAATCAAATGACATTCCTTGCGAATTTTAATGGATTTGACCTAAAGGTATATTAGTGGTATGGATTGTAAGTGTATTTACGGAGCGTAGTTCTAACCGCTAATACAGGCGTTGCTAGCTCTGTGTATAATATGCAATTGTGTCTGGACTTGTGACAAAAACAGACTGGAAAAAATAAGGACACAAACGTAAAATAAGTTCAAAGGAAAAGTTAACATGCCATTCCTCGAATGCTGTATCATTTATGTAGCGCTGATTCGATAATAACTTTTACTTGACATCTATGGCTTTATATCATCAAAAAACATCAGTTTCATATCAATTGCATTGCGCTGAAAGGTTTTCTGATAAGACGAGATTTTTTTCTGCTGTCACGTTGGTTGTATTATCTCTGAGTTCCATACTGTATACTTTGACAGCTTTAAAAGGTTTGTGATTCAAATCTACTTTTTTCTCTCCTGTTTATGGTTTTGAATTCGACAAACTTTCAACAAAGTAATTATAAAATCGTTGTTTGTTACTGTTGCAATATACAGCTGCATTTTACTACTATCATCAGGATAAGGATGTTTCCTAAGAGAATCAAATGCCTTGTCAAATACAAAATTGTTTTGACTTAGCGCTTGATATATCATATAAACAATCATGATTGGAGTAATATATTCAAGCCAACAGCAATCTACTGAAATAGAAAAAAGTGTCTTTGTTTAATGTATGGTCATCGTTTACTACAAACGGAAAACAGCTCCTTCTGTCAAGAAGTGCTATTGTGAAGAAATATTTCATTGTTATTCTCAGCCTCGTCTTATTACCTTAAAGAGCACCTTATTATCTGAAGTATATCCTGATATCATGGTTATATGACAACAATGTAAAGGATTCGTAATGAACGATTTACGCATTATTGTGCGATACTAATTCACACACTTTTGTTGAACGCCTGGTGAAATATTTTCTCAACTTTTACAAGATACATTTTATATATTTCGTTCCATTCGTTTTTTTATGAGCTCAATCTCTCTACATTTCTGATTTCTGTATTACTAAGGGTCTACGAATCAAAAAAGTATCGTACTTTTGGATATATTGGCATCGCCAAAATATGTCGGTTTTTCCCCCAAATCAGATGTTTTAATTTTGATGCATCAGATTTTGGCGTTTTGATGAGCATATGTGAAAAATGTTGGTGCTTACCTATGTGCATACAGCTATAGTTGGGATCATAGTTTTGTTCTGATCACAAAGTACACATTGGACGATTCTTGCATTTTATAAAATGCAACGAATCATCAATGTCATAATATTTTTTACCAATATGATTGCTTTTGTATCTTTCCTTATTAGCTTACAAAACAATTTCTGTTTCCTTTTAAATGGTTCCCAATGCTTATATATTCGAATATGGTAATGTCTAGAATCTCATGTGACGGAAATAAACAAGTGTGGCAAGAGAAACAATGAAACAAAAGAGAAGGCACGGTAGTCGAGTGGTAGGACGCCGGGCTCGTGACCGAAGGGTTGCGGGTTCGAGTCACGGCACGGCACTGTGTTGTATCTTTGAGCAAGACACTTTACTTCGCTTGTTCCAGTCTACTCAGCTGTAAATGAGTACGTGGTTGGGCAGTGCTAGAATTGTTGAATGCTAGCTGTTAGCGCCGATATGGCAGCTCCGGCTGTATGCTCCCGAGGGAGTTGAGAAAGATAATAATTTGTGAACCACTTTGAGACGACCTACGAACTAGGTTGTGATAAAGCGGTGTATAAGAACCTCGAATTATTATTATTATTATTATTAAAAAAGAGGCAGAAAAAGGAAAAAGGATCGATACAAAATCAAAACGTTGAAAAAGATAAAGAAGTTTTGGTAACAGTATAAACATATCTGAAGTAACGTGTCATTGTTTATTTGACCTTTTTGGTTCCGTCAGTATTGTTCTTAAAAACAATATGTGGCTGTCTTCTTTTTTGGTTCGTTTTTTTCATTTGATTTAGTTACAATTGTAGAAAGGTTATGTATCACAACCAGTGAGTGTTAATGTGTGACTTATCAATAACTAATACACTACGTACCCTGTCACCTTCATCGGACAAATGACAAGTGATGCATAGGTACACAAAGGTGTAAAATGTGTACGAGTTGGCAGCGTGAAATCAAAGTCGATTCGGACACGCTATACACGAATGGGAACTTAGTTGATTTACATGTACGAAATGACGAATCAGACCGACGGATCGACTCGGCTACGTTCTTTGTGTAGTACCTGGTCATAGACATTTTAGAGACATATTAGTTCAGAACGGGTCCCTCCGCTGCATATCCAGATGACTTCCTTTAGACACTTTTTTCTTTTTACAGTTATTGCATTCATTTATCTTAAATGATGACGTATATTCCATACACATGTATTTGTACCTAAGTCATCAATTCTGCTGAATTGTTGTTTTAACAGTTCTGTTTATTTTTATCTTTATAATTTACAGTTAACTTGTGTATTTTGATGTGATATCATAACAGTAGTTTTTTCAAAGACAGTGAGCAAACTGTGATTGCAGCTCAGTCCCGTTCTATTTTTTTCTGCTCTGGGCGAAGAACTCTCACAGTGAGAGTTATACAACACACACAAAGCTCACGGATGATATTAGTATTCCCGAGAGTAGGTCAAAATGACAAACTCAAGCGTACAATATCTCAGAAAACATGTATACGGTTTAAAATTTGAATGCATGAAGTTGGTTTATCGCAAGATTAATTTGGTAAACTTGTGCAATGTATTTTTATAATTGCCTAATAAATCACCGGAGCGCGGAGACGGTATTTCCTCAGATAGGTTTCATAAGCACCCAGTTTATTATACATTCTTATCAGATCGGTATAATCAAAAGAAAAGCAAATGTTATTTTTTGTTAAAAATTAGTATTTTGGGGGATTCTCCTATTTGTTGTATAAAACCGTTATCATCTTTGTGTGAGTCTTAAAAACTGAAGTACAAAATAAACATCAAGGTCAAAGTCTTTACGTAATAAGGACTTGCATGAAAAAACAAAAGTTTATCTTCATCTTAGCTTTTGTGTCTCATAAGGGAATGTGAGAGTGTATTGATCCAAAACTTAAGTGAGGAACGAGAAAAGCATGTCCTCATCGACCAGTAGCATGTATTCACTCACTGTGGCTTCTCTGAGAAATAGATTGGTCAATAGTGTAAGTAAGATATACATGAAACGTCAAAGACAACGTGCATTTCTTGATTTTACACGTATTACAAATGTGACTATTATGAAGCACTTTCTTACAGGGGCTGTGCACCAAGTCGGCCCTGGGATGCATCAAGAATAATGCATTTAGTTAATTTGCCCCCAGTTCCATGTTTAAACACAAGACAGCTTGAAATAGCACAAAGACGATATTATATGCGTATAATTGAATAGTCCATTTTACAATGGCTTGTTGTGTGATTGTTTCCTGCCTAACAATAGCTTGTTGTGTTAATGATTTGTTAGTTAGCACCCGGACAGTGTGGGGCGAACTAATTTTATATTTTAACTACAGCTTCAATACGTAACAGTGTTTTGTCACATGCAACAATTAGCAGACGATAGTGGTAAGTTTGGCGCTAGCATTTGTCTACTTGAATATGATGCGCCGTGTTTCGTAGAAGTTGCAATACGCAGCCCTGACAGGTACAACATTGCACGCCCGGCTTACCTATGGCGTAACATGGTCGGCGAGGGCTGGGGTATTTACTGTCGTCACGCAAGGATCTGGAAGACTTCAGCATGTACGCATGGCCTTGTACAGCTGACGTCGTGTAGGGTCTGAGGCTGTGTGGCACTCTTTCTATCTAACACGCTGCAAACATCCACCATTCAGAAACAAGATTATCACAGCTTTTTTATTTCTCTTCTTCAATTACAAACGCGCCCCCTTCCGATTCTACACATAGATGTTTTGGGTAGACGAGTTCCTTTCCTCAGTATGCAAAGTATAAACCAGCTCCACTTCGAAACACAAGCATTTTATGTTGCGCACAGTTATTATCAAATGAAATCTTTATGACTATCTGTTGCCTTGTACGCGCAGAACATGTTTGAGGCAAAGTGACTTTTATTGTAGAGAATTCCACATAAAGTTTGGTAACTCTGGTTGGTAAACCCCGCCAAATTGTCGGTAATTACATAGCTTTGCTACTTACAACCTTGTTTTTCTTTTATGCATAAGGTTTTGTTAGCGTTTGTTTGGTTTCTAGCCATTTGTAGCTAATCGTCTGGAACTTGCATCTGTACATGTGATACCGAATGTCAACATTTCTAGAGCACGTTGACATGTATGAGTTTAGAGTTACGTTTGTTTATTTCAAGTCAATCTTAACGTTTGGAATAGTATTCGGTTTAGAGTGTTTCCGGATAAAATCTTTATATGGTCAAATCCGGGCAGAAGATTGGTACGAACTTTGGTAAGTATTTCCTTTCATCCCCCAGTCAGTAACTTGATACGTCACGCTTGTGTTAAACATGTTTGGTTGATTATATCGATATTTATATTTACTTTGACGCAATATATTTAGTACATTGTGAAAAATGCTGGACTCAATAGCGTTTATGTTTATACGGGTGCAGCATTTCAATCCCTTATTGTATATGAGTTAGCAAAGATGTGTACAACTCTTATATGTCATACCTTAAATAGAGTTGAACTAGAAACATGTTATTAGTAAAGATATTTTTGTTAACAATAGGTGCAACACAGAGTTGTGGTGTGAATAAAGCTGTTAAGGTTACAGTCGTTATACTGTTTGCCACCAGAGGTCAGTAACTCTTCATTTCCGGTAGGATCAGAAATTTGAGAAATTTTAATTAAAGTCAATCAAAAACTTTCAAATAGATGCATACAGTCTTTCTGCTATCATTTTTGTTCGAATATATATGAATTAAACAGTGTGCAAGTTAGAGATTTAAAAAGAAAAGCAAAACAAAATATTTTGAAGTATTTGAAAATAATAATATCACATTTGATATGCCCGATTTTTTATGAATCTTTTTTTTTTTTTTTTTAACTTTTTTTCATCAACAGTTAGTAAGACACTAAAGTCAAAAATAGTATTTTTTATTTTTATTAAATGATTGATTTGTTTTAGTTTAATTAACGATCAAGTACTGCATTTCGCCATACATATGTAATACGGAGGGTTGTTGATAAGACTTTACCTGAAAAGTCAATCAATGTGCCACACACAATGCTATTATGATGACTTTATAACCCGATGGTCGTGAAACAATGACTTTATAACCCGAAGGTCGTGAAACAATGACTTTATAACCCGATGGTCGTGAAACATACCAAATTGTTTCATTCGAGGTCGATTTAGTACTGTCAATATAAATTGTTTATGTTAAAATGTATAGGTTCAAGGCTCAACTTGTCGAGGTCAGTGTGTGAAGGCCTTAGACGCTTACCTATATAATGGTTAAGTCTGTAACACAATAACAATACTGACCGCTATATATAGCTAATTCAAGCATGCTTGCTACTAATACATTTATCAAATGTGCACATGCAAGGCTGTCGAGAATGACTATCTTCTCAGGCGCCAATTTCTAATTTTCGTCGGGTGCATCCTGATGCAACATCGAATGAACATGTATCTATCAGGTCTCTCTCGGGATAAGCGGTTTCCAAACATTTCGTTAACGTAATTTCTAGTTTAATTAATCTAAAGCAACATATAGCGTCACTTATAATCTGATTGTATTTGTATGCAGTTCCTGTCTATCAGCAGACTCATCAGTTAGCAGTTGATCAAACTAGTCATTGCCATATTAATATAGACCTGAGAAATTTTACGGATTATAACCATTTATTAGCCCATTTTAAATGAGCAGAAATGTGAAATCGAGTTATCTCCCTTGGCTTAAACTTGGTTGTACATTTGTAGGAAACACGTTTTGTCTAACCAATGAAATCGGAAATACAAATGGATCTGAAAAAAATATGTATGCTAATTTTTTTATCATAAAGAAGAGTATCATTATTTGCTATTTAAGGAGAGTTATATGTCAATCAATAAGATTTGTTCCTGTAACACGTAATTTATCTAACCCGAGTTATGCCCCTTGGTATCGCTTTTAATGCATTGCAAACGTTAATATATTTTGTACATTGTACTGTTAGAATCTCCAAGTCAGGGCTGTAATTATACATGTACAGTCAGATTATTAGTAAGTGTTTNCACTAGTCAATATACTGGTCAATATACTGGTCAATACACTGGTCAATATACTGGTCAATACACTGGTCAATATACTAGTTAATACACTGGTCAATATACTGGTCAATACACTGGTCAATATACTGGTTAATACACTGGTCAATATACTGGTTAATACACTGGTCAATATACTGACCTATCACCTTGATTTGATCTTCGACAGTGTGTTAAAAAGACAATGCCTGTTAAGAACGAACAATAAACTGTATCATTCAAGACGTTGTTTCTTATTTCGACAACCGCCTCATAAACAGGAAGTCGGTCATTTATTCACCGAGACATCCCCTTAGAAACAGGAAGTTGATCATCGCCATACCTGTATGTTAACAACCGACTCTGGTGTAAAAAGATACCCAAATCTGTCAGTATAAAACAAGAGTATAATTATATGTCTGCATTTGTTGTATTCTCCATTCCTGAGAACTATTGTACCATTGGAAATTGATCATATCGTTTACCATAGGATGCTTATACCTGATAAAAACACCGAAAAATGCGTGGTATTTAAAACAATGTTAAAAATACAGTTTATGTCTGTTTTAATAAACACAGTTCATTTTGTTATCTTTGTTAAAAGGAGGTGGGTTTGTATTTTTTTGTTCGCGGAAAAGTTTAAAATCTTAAAATACCTAACATACCCTAAGTTTTGCCTGTGAGATATATATAACAGCAACAGTGCTAACAGTACACGGCTAAATTTGTACAAAAACCACAATAATCAAGTTTCAAATTGATACTGGAATAAATCATGGCCACTGTGAAATTTAAGAATAACATGACACGTCCTTTCATTTCGTTCTTATTTTACCCTCAATTGTATTCTCTTTTTGTATTTTATGTAAATACACATTATTTTATTCACATTTGAGATCTGACTTGCATAAACATGAATCTGGTGTTACAGTTTTTGGTGGCCATCTTGTTTTGATGTATTTTATTTTTGTTTATTTCCTTTTGCTTTATGCATCACTGTGCAAACCGGGTATCAAGTAAAATACTAATAAAATGACTTAGAAATCAGTTAAATATGTTTTGTGGTGGAAGGTTTAGGTTTTTGGATGTTCTACAAGGTCGCGTTTTAGGAGCGTATGTGTTATTTGAAATATGTTCTGTTGAGGGCACCCATATGTTGAGATATGTTTTTGTCCTAGTCACTATTGTGAAATATTTGTTCAAGTTCTTCTCAAGAGAAATATTCATTAGGGTTCACATTTTCAATGAATGTACAGAATTATAGTTGTTTGAAATCTGATTGTTTGAATATAAAAATAGAAAGAAACAGAACAAAACTACAGAGAACGAACTCAAGTCCTTTACATTGCAAAGACTTGACCAATTTTGCAATCTATGAATTATAAATCACATCCAATTTACAGGCCAAAAAACTTAACTCGTCAGGGGAAACTACTCTAAGGCGGAAAGCTCTTTTTGTTTGATTCATCTTCTATAATTATAGATAGAATATTCACAGTCAAAAACACTCGAAATGGAACTCTTCCTCGCGATTATAACTGATGCAGTATTCTTTGAGATTGCCTGCCTTTGTAGCAATACTTATCGTAGGATATATCGCAGCTCAAAGGTTGGCCTCATTTTTTTGCTATGTTCGCTTTTAATTTCTCTCATGTTTCTGCAGATATTTTCGCATCTTCTTTGAATTCTGATTTTATCGTATGATAATGTCGTAGTGGTTTATTTTGATTTTTTTTTTTATATATTCTTATTAGTTTCTTTGTTACTGAAAAATATTATGATTTAAAAAAAACTTAGTCTCTATGTTACTGGAAAGTGATGACATTAATAATATAAGAAATCTATAAACAAAGGGAGGCAATCAAACACACATACATTTGAAAATAATATGAATTAATCAGTTCATGTATTACTACATATTAATCTATGTTTGTGTATACCTTCTGCTATAATATAAGTGTAGCTAATGTGATTAAGAGTTCCCCCATAGATAGACGGCTGCAAGCCTCTCTCATCCTCCTTGTACCAACAGTCATCAGGGGTTCCGTACACTACCGCTTGTCAAAGCCTTTTCCCTGCGTACCTGAGATGTCCAGCGTGTTACGGTAATTTCAATATGCACTGATTAATACATGAGTCACTGGAGGCAAAATACCAGAGAATTCCACAGTGGTTTTTCCTATACATAGTGAACTCCCCTTAATTTCATTTTGGAAATAACTCTAGCTCGGCTGGGCAGAGTACTATTATTGACCAGGAAGTCCAGTCGGTTAGAGTGACAGTATAATGAGTGGAGGTCCAGGGTTCGAGTCCTGGTCTAGTTCTCAGTTGCGTCTCACACTCAGAACAATGTAGTTGAGTTTTTTTTGTATAATTGTCATTTTGGTGATTTTATATGTTTCTCAACAATTTAGCAGAATTGTAAACGCTAAAAATAGCACACGGGGAACTTATTGCTGTATTTGCTAACTTTGTTGATAACTTTATTTACTGAGACGCCAAACACGTTGTTTAGTTAAAAAATGATTTATTATCTTAAATAACTCCACACGTACACAGTTGAATACTCAAATTAAGATCGAAAACCTGAGAGCATACACAAATTCTCTTCAGTGTTTGACCTGTATGGACCTTTCAGGAATGCTACATCACCGACTGCAACGCCAGCATCCGGTTTCGATGTTTTTTTGTGCGATTGAAAAACAAAACTTCTAACTAAAACGAGTAGCGTTATGAGATTGATTGGGAGCGCAGGGTCGCTTAGATCCACCAATGAAAACGTCAGAAAAGTGAATATTACCTGTAGTTATTGGTTTATCATTATTCGAGCTCTTATTTTTGTTTATTTTCTCATTATATCGAGGTATTGATATATGTTTTCTACATTTTTCCCGTTCTCCAAATTCATTATGTCGAACAAAAATTATTACCCAATGATTTTAAGAAGTCATTACCTATTTCATTGTAAGGGATGGATTACCTATTCAATGCTCATTTCCACAATTTAATTTGCTTTTCAATGATATGATAAATCATTGTTTTAGAAAAACTTAAAAGAAAAACTTACAAATTCCAACAATTTACACCAGAGGTACAAATTGAACTGTTCAACGGTTGGAACAACGATTAGGGCAGGTCATGTCTTATATACGAAATGTAATACTCCGGCAGACAGTTTGGTTATCTGTTTTAACACTGAACGTAACTTTGAAGAG